TAGAAGTCGAAGGTCAGTAGAGACCTATAAATACAGCCAAGGTCCGCAGTTGTTGTACAGTGTTCGTTGGCTGCGATTAATACGTTATTTGTCAGGGTCATTGGCGTTTTGCTTTTTTCCTTCGGTTGGGCTAGAAGTTTTGTGGAGCAGTGAATTGTTATTTTTGGAGTTGCGTCTAGTGAGAAGATTATAACAGATAATAATTAAATGAAGTAGTCACATAAGCCGAGTACCGCCGGTAATGTGTTGAAAATCGAATCCTTAACCCTGCTCTGATACCATGAGGTCTATGTGACCCCAACCCACTTGCGACCATGTGTTTGGAAAACTAGCAAACGAAGTGACTTCGTCTGTCACATAATCTCCCGAAAAATCTCCCTAAGTACGTGGCGCATATTTGATATCCTCACAGAATTTCCAGTTATTTATTAGTTTAGCTTGTTTTCGCCTGGGGTCAAACCGGCACACCAGTAGTTAATAAACAAAAAAAACGATGTATTCCTCGACAATGTAGCAAAGGAATGTGGAAACAGAAGGAAATTGAAGCGAATGCTGCAAAATCGGGCGGTTGCTTTCGATACTCGAGAGTCGAAACGGGAGAGAGTAGGAGGCAATGAGTCAAGGAGACGCGGTAGACCGACAGAGAGAAAGCAAGAATGGGTGAGTGAGAGACAGCATGAACTGTCGAATGAAAACAAGCCAACAAGGGACGATACGAAAATCAAGTAGACTCAGCGAAAACAGTGCGGGTTATTCACACGATGAAAGATGAGTTTTATAAACCATTAATGGACAGCACATTGAGATCCGGAGTTTTGTATGACAGTGAGTCGCCTGTGAACTGAAGTAGGCGAGTTGCGTAAGACATCATCATCATCATCAACAGCAGTACATCAGCCATTTGAACTGATGCTTCGCTGCCATACAACCATGAGGACCTATGAAATAAAGAATAAGAAGAGGGAGAGAAGGGGGACTTACCTGAAAACCTTAATGCCCTAAGCAAACATTCAGGGTCAAGGCGCCTTACACCTTGTGTAGACAACATACCGTCACAAACAGCTGGCTATCGTGCAAACATAAGGCGGCGTCGGCGAGACAGCTTCCTTGCGGCTTTCACTGCCCCGCGTCATAATCAGCCATTACCTCACAGATAAATCAGCACCAAACACACCTCAAACAGGCAATCCGATTAGGAGACAGCAGCAGACGCGCCACTGGTGTCTACCGCGAGCCATGTCCTGTCAAGTCTCGAGCCAAGCACAAGGTGAGTCACGTGGACTCCAACCCGGAAGGCGAGACGGACCAACGGCACCCAGTTTGGTCGTCAGTGACTTCATTCCCCGCTGACAAGTCAACTTCTGTCCACCTCGAGCCTTGCGCCATCCGACACCTGGTAGACTGAACAAGGCCCTCCTAGGTAAACGGTGACCAGGCATGCGTAGCACGTGCCCGAGCCAACGTAACTTATTCAGTGCTATCTGTTGCTCTAGGGAGCTAGCATGATCATCACCACCTAGTACTCGCCTACGCACATCATCGTTGCGGACACGCTGGTGCCATCCGACACCAGCAGTGCTTCGCAAACAACGATGATCAAAGACTTGAAGGTGCCTCAGATCTTCAGACGAAGGGGCCAAGTCTCACTACCATAGAGCAGAACGGCCCTCACTGTGGCCTTGTATACACGGCCTTTCAGAAGGAGGGAAACTCCCTTCTGTCGCCAAAGATGACGCAGGTTCAAGAAGGCAGCTCTGGCCTTTGCAATGCGTGAGCTCACGTCAGTTTCTATGCGCCCATCATTGCTGATGCAGCTGCCAAGATAAGTAAAATGGTCAACCACCTCGAGTTGCTCGTTAGCAAGCGACAAGGGGTCATCGAGTGGCTGGTGGTCCTGCAGCAACCCTTTGCACTTTGAAGATGCAAAGCGTATACCAAATAATGGGACCACTCTGGATAGGCTATTCAGGGTTGATTGTGCCGCCCCAACATCGTCGAAAAGCAAGACGATATCGTCTGCATAATCTAGATCAACTAACCTTTCACCAAGCAGCACTTCAACACCTACATCGTGAGATTCCGCAAGGGAACACTCCATGATAGAATCCACGACGAAACTGAACAAAAATGGGGAAATCGGTCAACCCTGACGAACAGCACTTGTGGTGGAAAAGTTATTCGATAGGGCACCATAGACCCTGACGCGGCCTCTAGTGTTCGAGTATAGAGCACGAAGGATGTTCACATATTTCGTGGGAACACCTTTCCGCGCAAGTATTTCGAACAGAATCGATCGATCGACCGAATCGAACGCACTCTTGAAATCGAGGAACACAGCTATTGTCGGTCTGCGGTATAAGTGGCGCTGCTCTAGCACCTGCCGCAAAGTAAATATATGGTCTATACAGCCACTTCCTGGGCGAAAACCGGCCTGCTCTTCTCTAATCCGAGATTCCCGTTCTGCAGTGAGGCGACGAACGATACTCGTGGCCAGTAATTTTGCCACAACTGGCGTTAGGCTAATACCCCTGTGGCTCGCACAGTCTGTGCGACTGCCCTTCTTGTATATTGCCACTATAATCGATTCGCTCCAATTAGCCGGCACACCCTCTTCGTTCCAGATACGTTCGAATAGGGAGGTCAGTGCTTTGCAGAGGACCTCACCTCCATCCTTAAATAGTGCAGGTGGTAGGGAATGCGGGCCACGGCACGAAAACGATTGAGGGCTGTGACCGCGTTTCGGACCTCGGCCTCCGACGGAGGCTCTAAACTAACCGTTCATGGCTCGTCCTGCATCACCTGAGTAGGAAGAGGTCCGGGAACAGGAGACCAGCTGAACTAATCTTGAAAGTGTTCCACCCAACGAGCCATACAGCGCTCCTTATTGGGTATCAGCGCACCCGCGCTGTCTCTGATTGTCTCACTGACGCCTGGTTTTCTGGGACTAGTGGTGCGGATTAGCTGGAAGAGCTTCCGGTAATTGCCTACTGCTCCTGCCTTCTCCATTTCTTGAGCCCGACTGGTCCACCAGGCTTCCTTGTCAGCACGTAGGCTCTGCTTTAGTTCACGCCTAATAGCCCGTCTGGTCACATTGTGTTCAGAACCAGCCGGGAGGTGCCTTCTAGCTTCCAAAAGGTTCACGGACCTCTCGGATATGCAGTCACTGGTGTGGTGACGATGGATAGTGCCACAAGCAGATGCTCCTGCGTCGTGCATAGTGGCCGAGATCCTATTCCACTGAAGTTCAGTATCATTAGGACAAGACAGCGAGAGTTCGCTATGCAGTGCTTCTTGATAGGCTTGCCTGACAGAGGGCTTGGACAATTTCTCAGTTGCCAATCGGGGGAGACGCTTTGTGCACCTTCCAGTAAAGTTCATGGAGAAACGACAGCGCACCAAGGCATGGTCAGAATCGACACAGGTACTCCAGTACGAGCGCAATCCAGGATGGAACCGCGCCACCTGTAAATTATGGCTATGTGGTCAATTTGGGTCCATCGCTAGCCAGCTACAGGTGGACGCCAAGTGGCACTTCGGCGCCCACTGTGTCTAAAAGCAGTGCTAGTAAGAAACAACTGGTGCTCCACACACAGTTGCAGCAGACGCTCGCCGTTGTCAGTCCGTTCGGCGTTAAGTCCATACTTACCACCCAGCTGAGCTTCTGAAGAGCTCAGACGCCCTACTTGTGCGTTCATATCCCCTGCAAGTACTATAATATCTGAACTAGTAGCACTGCGTAGCAGCGTGTTCAGTTTGTGATAGAAAGTGTCCTTGACTGCATTAGAACTGCAGTCCGTGGGAGCATAAGCAGAAATCACAAACAAACAGCGTTTTGTTTTACTTCGCGAATTCACCTTAGCTGATGTCGTCAAACGGGCTGCACATAAACGGCTGTTCACCGGAATCCAATCAACCAACGATGACTCAGTCTTGGAGCTGAGAATGATACCTACACCAGCTTGACCCGTGAGCGCCGCATCGGTGTCTCCGGATGCGTGCAACCAATAACGAGAGGATAGGCCGGGTGCAGTTAATTCAATAACCCCGTTAGGGTCATTAATCCTAGTTTCGGACACACAACACACATCAACACCCAGTGTGTCCAAGGTGCATGCGAGTGCAGCCTGCTGACCTGCTTGTCTTAGAGTGCGGACGTTGAATGTCGCCATGGAAACGGGACAGCGTGGCCTTATAAGGGAGTTTTGCCGATAGGCGTCCGATAGGTGCTGTGGGATGGTGGCTGCAGATGGTTCTACTCCAGTAGCACTTCGGTTGCTGTCAATTAAGCTGGGAATTATAGAAGGAAGGTTAGTAATGGGGGCCGAGATGGGAGTAAGAGAAAAAGGTGGAAAAGAAAGAAGGGAGACGCCAGCAGTAGCACGTTTTCGCTTATCCGCCCTGCTGTATGCAGCAGATAAGGCGACCCTTGATAATCTGCGCGACGGCCGATGCAGGATGAAGTTTATGTTTGAAGAAAATGTCATGGTTGTATGTGGGCTGGGATACTGCCAGGACGCGAAGACCTAGACAGGAGAACGATTAGGGTCCTCATCCAAAGCCTTTGGCTCAAAAGCCTGTCCGCAAGGCAGCGGGGTAGCAGTGATTTAGTTTTACAGAAATGGACGCCATCCCATTTCAAAGTAAGACATATCAGGAGGAATCAGATAAACATGTATGGATGAAACCCGCAACTCTGATAAAAACGGAGCAAAATGTAAATGATATCAGTACACCAGAGGCAATGGAAAATTAAAAAAACACTTTAATCTTGTTAAAACATAGATGTAATTGAAGCTGAATTCTGTCCTTGGAAACAGTGCAGGTGATCAAGATGCCTTCTTATAATTGTACTGGAAGCAGTTCATGGAAATCCAAACGAATAGAGGATGAAGACAGCCACAGTTACTCGGGGAGAGGAACGAGAAGACTTGTCGCATTGCGGTTGGAAAACATGGGAGGACGATGAAAACCATCGAGTGAGCAAAATGTAAGAGTCTCACCTTAGAAAGAGTTTGGGCATTGGGACGCTTCTTTTCATTCTTTGTCAAACAAGATTTCAAGAAACTATGGAATTTGGTAGACCTGCAGTAAAAGGAGGGGGTTGATCGGAAGTACATAAGAGGTAAAAGGGAAGAACAAGGCATGCACGACACGTAACAAACGGGTATCTAACGATAAAGGTGTGCACAGGGAATCAATGTGACGCATGTAATACCAAGCAAAGCGATTTGTTTGAACAAGTAAGTACACAAACTGGGAACGCCTCGAGGCAAATGAGTGGTGAACAAACAGAGGAAACCGATGTGTACAAGAGTGAGGGAGAAATGAAAGCGAGCAAACTGTCCTGTGATGTGAAAAAGCAAAACAGAAAGAACCACAGTAAATGAGGAACTACACAACAAAAGTATACATGATGGAAAAGTCGAACAAACCATGCCGACTTGTTCCGGAGCGTGGGTGGTTTGTAACTTCGAGTACCCAGGATTTGTAATGCTCTGGAGATTATCAGAGAAGTGGGAAACAGAGGGGTAGAAGGATAAGCAGGAACAACAATCAAAGAGGACAAACAAATAAAGGTTCATATGAAAATGGTATCACGCTTGAAAACTGAAAAAGAGTAAACACAGTCGAGCGATTGTCATGAAGACCGATCCCAAGTAAAAATACGTGAGGAACGGAGCGCAGAGCCATCCTAATGAAGTTATGTTGGCAAATTTACTATCAGTGACGTGGAAAAATAACTTGGAAACACTAAAAGAGCAAAAGGAAGACTGGTTACCTCATGGTAAACTCGAAAGCCACGAGCAAGTGAAAATGTAAGTTGAAACGGCACACAGATCGCAGATAACAGCCCAAAGATTCATGGAAAAAGATAGACGCGGTTAGACGGAGTATTCGGCAACTCAACTCACGATGAGCAACGATGGGACAGAAATGTGGCTGTGATAAAGATGTGCGGAATCGTGGGTGTAGCAAGAATTGTACGCTTGTGATTGGTGGTAACAACTTACTGAAAGGGTAACGATGGGTAGCTGCACTGATTTATTCGTCGGTACAAACGCTGGGCGCCAGATTGTGATTACTGGGTTGGACTTTGGTCACCGTTTGCATTCGGATAAAGCCGCGTGACCCGGCTGGCTTATGGCCCTGCAGGAGAACCCTGATCAGAGACCCCACATAGTGAGGTAAATAACTTAAAAGATGACGCCACAGTCATTTCATTCCCTTTTCCCTCTGAATTCAATGAACGCTTGTTCCACCGGTCCTTATTCGGTTGACGTAACTTAACGATCCAAACCGAATACTAGTGACAAACGTACTGACCAAGCCGGTTGCCGGGTACAAGCGCATACTACATTCGAGTGAAGAGCGCACAGTATGGGAAACGGGAGCTAACGCACACTCCGAGAATGAATTACGAGGCAAAGTCCGATGAAACGGACGGCACTGGTCGCCACAGCTTTGAGACTGCAATAGTCAGTGGGACGCAGAAGGATGAACAAGATAATTCGTGCAAGATTGGTACTGATTAACCATCTTCCTAGATGGGGAACACAACTTTAATGGCAAATAAAATGTTAAAACAGCTTTGTCATATCCGGCCAGTTGGATGGCCACTTGATATAATAATAATAATAATAATAATAATAATAATAATAATAATAGGTATATTTCTCATCAAGTGAAAAGCCGTGACCATACTTGGCAAAGATCATATAGGTCCAGATGGTATTATGCTTTTGCATGAGCAATATTAAGATATGTTTTTTATATTTGTCGGTGTTTCTGGCAAGATATTTGCCCCATATCTTTGTACCTTATACGATGGTAGAAGGAACTTTTGCAGTTCGGGTGTTGTAGAATGGAATTACCTCGAAAATTTTCAATTATCTGTGCTTCGGTCCATGCAAGTAGGTAATGTGAATTAAAGAATGTAGATTCAGTATGTGCTAGCCCCATGATAAGAATTACTAATTCTGCTCCCGACTGTTCGCAATTATATTACTTGTGCTTACGACTGGCTACTTTTGCTAGATGATCGAAGCGAGTGTCGGATGTGATCTAATGGACACCACGATACTGGCTTAGCTCTAGAGAACCGTGGCCGTCAGCTCTGCGTACCATTATTGGACAGACAACTATAGACAATCGATTCACTCTGAGTGCCAAGAAGTAGAGGATGTGTGAACTCTACCCTCTGACCACGTTTCCACAACGCAGCCGGCCCACACTCGTTCAACAAGCAGAGCAGAAGCATTCATGCCTAATTAGGAAAGCATGCATACCAGACGTATATAATGCGGTGGCTGAGTCGTAGTCCGCTCCACACTGGTTGCATAGAACCACTCTATGAGCCAAGCACGGCCACCAGCACCGTGCACCCCGTCACTTTCCAACAGCGATTCAATCCATTGGAGCCAGTAATCGAGGTGGGTGTTAGACAAGTAGGCACGTTGTCAACATTCACATCAAGCGCAGCCACACCGGGGATAGCAAGCGACAGCCCATCACTTGATATGACAAAACCAAATAAACTATATCGAATAAGGCATACGGATATACACCGATATAAGTTTTCGTTAAATTAGTATATGGAATAAAAGGGTTATCAACAAATCCGCGATAAATTCAAGTTGTCAGAGAAAGAGATCAAAAACATATGCAACAAACGGGAAAAAATACACGAAGTTAACCACCTTTCGATTAAGTGATGTGTGCAAGTAAATAGATTATTCGGACAGACATTAAAATGAGGTAACAAAATAAGCAATAAGACAACATAACAAACGACTCGCCTGAAATAAAGAAACTCAGTACGCGGTTAGTAGATAGGATGGTAGCGCATGCAGCGGTCCTCAAAACGCTACGCCGGTTCTGCTCATGTTCGAAGCACGACCCATCGTCGTTTCGATGTTGGTCCCGAGTGGCCTCGCTCGTGGCTAACTAGGCATGCCTGACTCAGGCACTCACGACCGCATGTGTTACAGCACCCTGAGCTAGACATCGATGGAGCTCGAGTGACCGAAAAGATTAGGCAGGCAGATGGGCACTTGGAAGTAGTGAACAGGTTAGTACGTTGGAGTAAGTTAAGCTGGTTCCGACATGCGACAATACGCCTGCTCACTGTTCAACAAGAAGAGTTTCATTTTGCAGACCAGATCTTGAATAGTATGCAGATCGTAGAGAATCCACTGGGAGAGGGCAATTCGTTAACCGGTAATGAAATCATTGACGATTAAGCCGAGAGCTGTGAGTACGTCTAACCGGAGACCACGTAGTTCATCTTGTGCTTAAAGAGACCTCGTAGGAGATGGCTCGCAACTGGAACTGGTGATGCTTTTGATGTCGTTCCCTAGCCGAATCGTTTCTCTAACCTGTGCAGGGTAGGATTATGTATGGCTCAGAGAGTGAAAGAAGGCTATCATACCGAACTTAAAGTAACGTTGCACGATCACCAGCCATTCATAACTGTGACCTTTATCCATGTAACTGAATACTGCTGTCGAGCTCACATTTAATTTCAATCACCCTCCTCAATCTTCATGAATAGAGTTGTTGATACAGAAGATATGGTACCAGCAGCACATGCGAGCACACACTGATGTTGTTGGTGACGGTTGTCTACATCAACCAGTGACGAAAGCAAGGGTGTATGTGTGCGTGTGCCTATGATGCCCGAATTAAGGTGACGCACACGTTCCAATAATCGAGTGCCCGAGTCAGGTGGTCTGTTCGGAAACATAGATGCAAAGCTGCGCATGTGAAGCAAAGTGAGTCCCCCATATGAGGTAGAAAATCGATGAAAAACGGCTTACAGTGTGCGACAGAAATGTGAAAAAAATCAAAGAAACAAGTGCAAACCCAGGATATAATCGACTAGCAGAAAACAATGACAGATGATAAAACGGGATTGGATAATGTCTGGTCATGATAAATGAAGCGAAAGAACCATGTAGGCAGCAGCAACCCGAAAAATGAGCACATATGTGTAATGTTAGTCGGTGGATGTGATTATGGATTTGCACGACTATTTGATAGTGAAGGGCCTGGTAAAATACCTGTGCACACGGAGGATTCGGAGGCAGCTCGCACTGCGCCATACACACACACATACCTATAACAATAATAAATAATATGTCAGTTGTACGCCATAACGGCGTTTCGCTGCCTTGCGAACACCACCCGTCGCACGCAGGCTGAGAATACCGCGAGGATGCCCACCCCTAGGCGGATTCGAACCTAGGCCGCAAGATTGCGAGACAAGCTCGTTACCAATAGGCTGAGGGACGAAACACACACTTAATACAGTGCAAACCGGCAGAAATGAGATAAGAAGGAATAAAACATGGATTAAGATTGTTTCCGAGTCGAATCACACTCTGCTCTTCAGTGTATAGGAGGGAAAGCAACGCCACCAGAAAAAGCAACGGGTTGGAGAAATAGATTACCTCATGGGATGTAAATCGAACAGGGGTGGTTGAAGTTCCGCATATTCGATCGCTGTGATGCCCAAAGCCCAAATATCGCACTTCTCATCATAGCCCCCTTTTCGCTCTACAGCAGCGACCTCCGGAGCCATCCTGGGAAGTGTGAGAAATGAACAACATTGCACGTTGTCACTTAAAAGTGATCAGAGCTAGGTAAAAACGACCGGCCTGTGGTGTGCTCGCAGGTATGTAAATTGGGAGATGGTTACAGACACAATGAGCTACCCACTGGCATGTTACGTGGATACGCAAAGGGCAGAAAACATGATAATTCAGGTGACCCATGAACAAAAAGACCTCAATAAGCGTGCAGCTATACCACAAGGTTTGAACTCTGTATTCGCAGGTTTGCGGGGCATCCAAAGATAGAGGTTACAAAGCAATTATATTCGTGATGATTTTGGAAGCGTTTGCAGATCATTTGGAAGGGACTGAATTCGTTATAGAGTGAGTAAGTTATTCGAAGGTAAGAGAGGGCAGCTTTGGAAAGTGTTCTAAGAGCAAGGCTAAGGGTAGGACTAAGCTTGTTTTCCATCTGGAACAGATGAAGATGAAAATTTATCCGATGTTAGAAGCGTAACTGCCACTTATTTTATCATCTATATATAAGGGGTGGAAAGCCCACTTCGTTTATTCAGAGTTCTTAAAGAACTGACTCAAACCAGTATGGCACATTCATACACGGATATCAAGTCGACCATAGCAGGATCAAAAATGGCTGTCTTTAACGGTTTATAGTTCAGCGTAGTCATACTTTTGAGCATAAATAAAGGTGTTAGTCTTTCAAATGCGACCAAAAGTATGGAAGAAGAATAATAATAAACAAAAGTAACGGTTGATTCCAGGATTCGCGGCATGGAACTTCCGAATAAGGTGCTCCTGAAGTGCCTTGGGGATGACCACACTTTCCGAAAATAGCATGCAGTCGTTCACCATAGAGAGCGAGTGTCTCCTCGGGAAGTACTGTTGCAACTCGGCAGATGGACATAAACGTGACCAACTTGTTTGGTAGAATTGTGAAACATTCTTGAGTACTCGGCCCCGAAGCGTTTCGGTTCGTACAGCTTCTGCGGTAACTGGTAGACTGTGTAATGCATCAGTTACCAGACACTTGACGTCAGAGTCAATCTCGACCGAGGCAATGATTGTGTCCTCATGTTCTTGCTGATGGGCATCAATTAGGCGTGACAGTGCATCCGCTTGGCCAATGGAAATTGTCGACTGGTAGTGGATCTCGAAATCAAACCCTATTAAGGTAAGAGCCCAACGTTGTAGCCAGTTGGCTATGTAGGCCGGAATGGCCTTTGTCGAACCAAAGATAGCCAGCAAGGGCTTGTGATCTGTCAGAAGCTAGAAGCGGCGGCCGTATAGCATTTTGTGAAATTTGTTGACCGCGTATACTATGGCCAATGCTTCTTTCTCAATCTGGCTGTAACTTTACTCGGACTTCGTAAGGGTTCAGGCGGCATGGGTGATGGCTTTCTGAGATCTATGGGTGTATGTGTGTGAAATTACTGTGTCAATCCCATGGCTTGATGCATCTGTGGTCAAGACAATCACTATGGAGGTATCAAAATGAGTCAAGAGCAAGTTCGAGGACAGCAATGTCTTGATCCGTTCAAAGGCATTCTGGCATTGTGATGTCCAGTTCCAAGTTTGGCCTTTGGCTAGTAGCTTGTTTAACGGGGCACGCAGGCGGTGCATTTCAGGCAAGAATCCGCTGTAGCGGCTGATGAGCCCACAAAGGGAACGCATGGACTGTAGATCTGTTGGTGGAAGCATTTTTCTAATGGCTTCTACGTTTTCCGGATCCGGTCGACGTCCATCTTTTTCAAGGATAAAACCGAGGCATTTGATGATCGGCGTGAAAATGTGCAGTTATCCTCACGGATCTGGAAATGGTACGACCGTTTACAACCAAGCACTTTATCCAGGCGGTTAAATAGTTGTTCCGGTGTTCGACTCATCACTATGGTACCATCCAAATATGCAGTGGCTCCAGAAACGCCCGCTAGCATGGTATCCATCAATTGTTGGAAAACGGCTTGCGCCGTTTTTACACCAAAGGGCAAGAGGTTGTATTGGAATAGCCCACGATGAGTGTTGATCGTCAACAACTCCCTCAAGACTTCGTCAACAACCACTTGAAGTTAGGCATTGGATAGAGCAAGCTTAGCAAAACACTTACCAACATTCAGCTTTGCAAAGATATCTTCCGGTACAGGTAATGGGTACTGATGGTCGTCCAGCACGGCGTTAAGTCAGCGCAGACGCGTACCTTGTCATTTGTCTTCTTCACTGCGACAATAGGTGCGGCCCATGATGAGTAGTTAACGGCTGCGATGACTCCGGCACGTTCCAGTCGATCGAGTTCTTGATCAACGGTTGACATCGCTACATATGGTACCGGTCTTTTAGCCTTGAACACTGGTTTAGCACCTGGTCACAAGCTCAGTGTTGCCTTGAATTCCCTACAATGGCCCAAACCATCCTGAGAAAGACAGAGGCAAACTTTCCTTTCAGGGTACATGTCATGTCTTCGACGGACTTTGATGATGGGTCTGGAGTTGCTCGAACTCGGTTGCAGATCTGATTCAAGGGAACATCGAGGAGTTGCAACTGTTCAATTCAGTCGAGACCAAGAAGATTCAAATTCATTCCGGTCTGAAATGTAGTACGTTCCCGACTTTTCCACACCTTTGAAAGTAATCTTGCAAGTAACTTCGCCCACTAAGTTTAACACACTGCCGGATGCATTATGTGCAACTTTCTGAGACTCGAGCACCCACGGCCTCTTTAGGTGATTCCATGTGCTCTTGGGAATAATCGTGATGTCCGACGCCGTGTCAAATTGCAGTTCCGTTGGGATCCCAATGATTAACACCCTGATAAACCGTCGTCTCGGTTTACACACACTTTGGAATGCAGCAACTATGGACAGAGACTCTGCGCCATCCTTCCTAGAACTCCCCTTTCGATAACACTTCACTTTCTTTGACCGGACCTGAATGCAGAATTGCTCCTTCTGCCAAAGCTTATGGCACGTTTGACAAATATGACGTTTGAACGGACAAAAGTGCGTGAAATGCCATTCTCAGCATGACCAGCATGCTGTGAGCGGTTTGTTCGTAGATCTCTTAAAAGATTTGCTCCGGTTGACAGTCCTGGCCTTTTTCACGAAGTGCACAGTATCCGGTGATGCGAGACCATTCCGTTCGACCATGGCAGTGTCGTGTTTTAGAGTGAGCAGCCAATTGCATTCGTTTACGAGGGCCTTCAGTGTCAGATCAGGATTCTGATCCAGCTTAGCTAAAAGCCGCATGCAGATCTCAGCATCACTGGGCGATTGTAGAGCGCTAAGGAAAATGAGACACTTAAACTGATCGTCCGTTAAAGTGTGTAGTTTGAAACGCTCATACTCACGGTTAATCATGTCTGCTAGGCCCCCAAAGTCGTCCGATGCCTGTTTGACAATTTTCAGGCATTGATAGCGAATACTAAACAAGGATACTGACTCACCAAAAATTTCCTTCAGCTGCGACACTACTTCGTCAAACATCAGCTCCTTCGGCTGTTTGCGCAAAATGTGGTCTATGAACCTTGAATGTTCACTTATTCCGAGCTTGCGGAGTAGCAATCACACCTTCCAGGAGTTCTCCTGACGAATGAAGTCCGTCCGGCACATGTCTTCCCAGCGCCTGAACCACGCTCCGAATGTGCTTCCAAAATCCGCGTCATAACTGAATTCAGTGATTGCATTCGTGAGAAGATCAACAGAACTCGCCTTGTCGTCTGCAAACTCAGGCATTGTGTCAGATTTTCGATCATTTTCATTTGTGCCTCCAGTTGAGATTGCTGTTGGAGAAGCAGCTTTTAAATTGTCCAGCAGAAAATTTCATCACATTTCCAATCTACTCCGTCCATTTATAATCTTCTCACTAGACGCGATTCCGAAATTGACACAACTGCTCCACAAAACTTCTAGCCCAACCGAAGGAAAAAGTAGAACGGCAGTGACCTTGACGAAATAAGGTATTAATCGGCGCCAACAAACACTGTACAAGTACCGCGGACGTTGGCTGTATTTATGGGTCTCTTACTGGCCATCGACTTCTAGAATTGGAAGGTCAGCTAGCAAGGTTGGTGGTTCCCCATAGCTTTTGCCGATGTGTCAGGTGGCTTTCAGTCACGTGCAGAACTAGAACATTCCGGAACTTTCGAAATCGATGCGATAACCGTTACTAACTGATTAATCGCTAAAATAGTGGATTTCCTAAACCATTATTACTTTCTCGCGGACGCGATGGTGGAAAGCGTAGGCAGTACTTATGTGGTAAGTGCTCCTTGACACGTCTGGGAGCGGTTAGAGATAAGAGCAATGTCATTAGAATACTGCGTGAACAAGTCTCTCGTTTGGAAGCCGCTCCACACATTCTAAGGGGAGTCCAGTGAATGCAGTTTACACGACTTTGTGGATGGCGAAGTGAAAATGGAAATGTGACAGTTGACATCCTTCACCCACACCACTGGAGATATTGAATGGCGGCGATAGATTGCTATAAGCCTTTGCTCTGCATTTATTCAGCACGGACAGTATTTCTCGAACACACCTTTCATTGAGAGACAGTCCCATAGGGCACATCGATCCACAAAATCGAAGGCAACTTTGATGTGGAGAAACACGACTACGGTGGGTCGCAAATAAACATGGCAATGCTCCAACAAGTGATGCAAAGTGAAGATGCGGTCGATGCAATCCTGACCTCGACGAAACCCGGCTTGTTCCTGACGAATCGGGCTTTCGTGAGTGCAAGTCTGTCTGTGGGGAACGACAGACACAAGCAACTTAGAGGCAATTGGGATCAAACTGATCACTCTATGATTGCCGCATTCAGGACGGAAGCCTCGTTTGAAAATTAAGACTGTGACGGAGTGCTTCCAGTCTGCTGGGATGGAGTCCTGCTTCAACAACCTCCCTACTAAGTTGTACAAATCATCCATGAGAGCAGGTCCTCTAAATTTGAAGAGAGCTGGAGAAAATCTATCTGCTATGGCGGCCTTGTTTGACTCCAATAGTTTGCTTCAACATTCAA